GGGCGTGGTAGCGCGCGCCTGTAGTTCCAGCTACTTGGAAGGCTGAGGGGGAAGGATTGCTGGAGCCCAGCGGCCACTGCACTCCAGTCTGGGTGATGGAGACTCCAACTCAAAAAAAAAAAGAAGTAAGGGCAAGATGGCTGCAGTATTTGAAGGTGAGACAATGCCTCAAATAAAAGGACTTCGTCTTCACTGGTCCCGCGACCGTGAGGAACAGGAGTGTCTGGGGACAAGATGCGTTTCTCAGTGGCCCCGAAACCAGTCGCATGGGATATGGCCGGCCTTCCCCTGACCACGTTCACACCTTCTTGTTTAAGGCAAATGGTGAGCTCCCTATGTCTTTGTCTGCTGAGACTGATACAGCAAAATACCACAGACAAGGGGACTTATAAACAACAGAAATTTATCTCTCATGGTTCTGGTGCCTGGGAAGCCCACCATCAAGGTGCCGGCATATTTCCGTGTCTGGTGAGAACCCACTTTCTGGCTCACAGAGGGCACCTTCTAGCTGTGTCCTCACATGGTGGAAGGGGCTGGGGAGCTCTCTGGACTTTCTTTTATAAGTGAACTGATCCCATCTGTCAAGGCTCTGCCCTCACGACACAGTCCCCTCCCAAAGGCGCCACCTCCTACACCGTCACACTCAGGGTTCCGTTCCAACTGATGAATTTTAAGGGGACACAAAGAATCAGACCATAGTACCCTGCAAACAGCCAGCATTGGGCAGACATCATTCAATGAATGGAATTAAATGGTTCGATGCAGTTGGTGAGGAGAAGCTGATGAAACAGTACTGACAGGTTACATCCCACCAGGTACCTCAGATGCCCATACTCACAGGCAGATGACTGCAAATGTGTCCGGGGGAACATTCTAGCAGCACATCTGGCCACACTCCCGACAGGAGAGGAGGAAGAATTTATTGTGAAGGGTGAGCGGGAAGGAGCCAAAAATGAAGTATTTCTGTATCTTAAAATACCTACCGAGAGAGAGAAAGAGATTGTGTTAATACTTTAGTTCGCAATAATGCTCTACATTTCCCAAGTGTTTTCATATCTGTTCTTTTTTTTTTTTTTTTTTTTGAGTTGGAGTCTCACTCCGTCGCCCAAACTGGAGTGCAGTGGCATGCTCCCGGTCACTGCAGCCTCGACCTGCTGGGCTCCAGCGATCCTTCAGCCTCAGCCTTCCAAGGAGCTGGAACTACAGGCGTGCGCTACCACGTCCAGCTAATTTTTTATTTATTGTAGAGATGAGGTCTCGCCAAGTTGGCCAGGTGGGTCTCGAACCTGTGGGCCCAGGCAATCCACTCACCTCGGCCTCCCAAAGCTCTGGGATTACAGGATGAGCCACTGAGCCCAGCCTAACAAACTATATTTTCTAATCTAAAAAAAAAAAAAAAGAAATTAGCCTAATAGAGCAGAGGAAAGTGGACAGTTGAAAGTTTGTTGCAAACAACGATTAAGCATTGATTCTAAGTGAGGTGTTTGATGTGGTGTTTGCAATATTCACAATGTTTGAAATGTTTTAATATTAATGATTTAGTTTCAAAGTTGCTAAAACTCCATTTTTTTCTTTTTTGAGCTGGAGTTTCACTCCGTCGCCCAGACTAGAGTGCAGTGGCCACTCCCAGCCACCGCAGCCTCGACCCACTGGGCTCCGGTGATCCTTC